CTGCTAAGCAAATTATGAAGCGAAGGAGATTGGTATGAAGCGGCTGTGATGCTGCATGGATAAATGGGTACACATATGCAGCCGTATCTTCGGTAGCGGTGATAGGTAAGATGGAAACTCGTCCGAAACGATTTGCAAGTCCCTGAGAACGGAGGCCTTTTCATCGCCGGATTATGATCCGTCTCACTCCGTTTTTTTTTTGCCATTTCCCCACTATACAGCGCCCTACTAGCATTTTAGGCTAAGAAGGAAACCATAGTGCCAACTGCTTTTAATGAAGTGACCTTCTAAGTTGGTGCGGGTAAATAGAGAGCCTAAGTGTCAAATGAGTGTCAAAGATTATCCTCTGCACTGGCTCGCCTGTAGGCGAGGATGTGTGATTCTCCACATTTCTCATAATTTTCACGTTTTGTTGTTTTGTCTGTAGAAGTTAAGTTATGGCTGCGTCTCTGTATCTCTCCATATATCCATAGAACTTTATTCACTGAGGTCAAACTTTCTAAGCCCAGAAAGTTGGCGAGAGGTCAACAGTCGAAGTAGCCAGGCGAGAGGTCCCGTAGTCTTAATTAGATCCCATTACGGCATTGTAGTGCGACGTGCGGTAGTTATTATGGCGTTCATCGTCCGCACTAAACATCGCTCCCTCGATTAGTGAGCCACCACCGGGAACACCTCTCGATCAGGTCCACTGAGAAGTCCTACAGTCTGAGATTGATGGTCCGGCACCAACCTTTCTTCTTGTGTTTTCTTTTTTTCCTGGCATTCCCATTCCGTGACTATATGATAAGTTCCAGCGCGATACGCTTTGGGAGGGGGCACGTTGGTTCTCATGGGTTGTTCGTTGACGACACCCTCCTATGGAAATCTGCTAATTCGAGTGCACCTATATGCAATAGCAGGAGGCGCAATTACAACTTGGACAATAGCCTGCAGGTCTGACCAGTGTGACGTGTACTTAGCCACATTACGCTTGTAATAGAGTGACTAGAGATAGTTCAAAGCCCCCTCCCAAGTCGAATAACGCCCAACTTCGCTTGATTTTTCGCCAACTTCCCATGTCACTACTTGAGCGACTCTGCCTCGTCGACAAGTGCTGACGTCTAAAGGAGTCTCAAATTAGTTGAAGTAAAGGTGCTCCGTCCGACAGAGGAGACGGTCAAGACAACCGTATTTTGCCACTCCTCGCGCGCGGCAATCGGCGTTTTCTCAAGTTGCCTATGATTCATCACGGCGCTAAACGCTTCCAAATTCTCTTGGAGCCTTTCGCGGATCTCCACGAGACGGCTTCTTCCAAGAGAGAATTAGGGGAAAATTGGATAATGTGGACAATTCGAACCACCCCCTAGCCACAAACACACTTTCTTTTCAGTGGTGGGCCTTGAGACGCTCTTCAAACTTCAAACACCAAGTCTTCAATTTAATGACATTTATCCAAACATTAACGACAATAATACAAAAAATAACGACGATACAATCATAAAAGAGCAAAAACATGTAAAGCTGAGCAAAAGCGAGGTCGGCAAATGGGATTGGCAAATGAGATTGTTGTCTATGGAATATCATAGGCATTCATAAATCAACTATATCCACCTGTTGCGAACTACCACATGGTGGTTCCGTTTCAATGATTGTCTCTGTGGTTTGCGACATCCGTAAGTTTCCTCTGAAAAACGAAAGTCTTATGATGAGGTGAAACGAAGAATCTAAAATCGGACACTATTGACCCTTTGCTGATCCACTCCCCCCACATCTTTAATGATAACAATCTAGATTTCTCTGCCTCAGAGAGTTTGACCCTGAACATGTCAATAATAAATCACATCGATGGCGCTGACCCGCCTCGACAAGGCTATCGTCAAAGTTGGACGTCAGGCTGGGATAATTGCTATGGCGGTATGTGATAATTGTGATATTCGTGTTGAAAGATCAAACACCGCTGGGGAAACGTTTCTGAGCAAACCCAGCAAGATCCAGACTCCGAAAACTGGTCAGTAAAGGGTAACTAATGCCAGAATCTTTGGATTGAACTTACTTTCGTATAATACCTAATGCTATCAGGTCGTCTTCGTCTCCAGATATGTCTGCTTCATCCCATCTGTAAAGAAAAAGAAAGGTCCGATATAACGACGAAGAGGGATCGAAAGATTGCTACAAAATGTATGCTTTATCAGGTTAACACAATCCATTAATTTTTATCAACAATATTTATCTATTGGTTTATTACTCAAATATACTAGTCAGCTGAGCGAACATAGTGTAGGGTACACCCAAGTGGAGCCGAAAACTCCGCATTTAGATCCGTGGTCGTTCTCGGGTCGAGGCGCTAGATTATGAAAACACTGAATAATACGTCATAGCTTGGCCAGAAAACAAGCACGGAACGGACAATTGTACCAATAGGGACTTCATGTACATCACACAAGTAAAAGACTGAACTGACAAGGGAGGTCGTTCAGGGCGTGGTGCGCTTTTCGAAAACGGTTTTTTGCATATTGTAGGGGCTCATGCAAGGACCTGAAAAGTGTGCTTCATTTTCGCTGCGCGCTTCCAGGAACGGTAAAAAACGAGTGAAAAGAAATCTTTGGAATCTGCTTCGTTCTGGGCTTCTTTACGGCGTAGGTCACTTGCAACTTTGACCAGCTGCTGAGTGGGGGATCCTTATAAAGGGGCTATTCGAGTCGAAGCGAAAAATCGTTGCAAATGAGCTTCCAACTGTAACAACAACTGCTTCCAACCAGCTCCAACAACGAATGGACATCGATTTTCTGGTCCTCGTATGTGTCCCGACAATATGCACAAATGTTGCACAAACACATCTGCTGTATTTTTCAGGTTTCGCTGTTCTCGCTTCCATTAGTGTCTGCGCATGAATATAACTCGGATATTTGCCATTTATGGGCACATTCCGAGTAGCTGTACCTCATGAGTCAGTGCTATTCAACTATTTCGATTTTCACGCACCATTGAACAAGGTTGTTGCTGGACGTTGTTCCTCATAGGCTATACAGTGGATCTGATTGCGAATTTTAGTAACTTTGGTGGTGTCAACTATAGAAAATTTGGGGCCACTTCTTCTTTCCAGTGAATTCGTTATGTACACCCATGTAGGGAACGTTCAGCGCTATTCTGTCGCCAAATTGCGTGGACGCCAAGAATAGGTGTTATATTTGTGATCAGGGCCACTGATTACCACTAAAAACGAATTTTCGGTCAAAACAACTGTTTTGATCTTCTTGGGTTTGCTTATTTGGGTTGTCCGGGGTCCGTGGCGTCAACGATACATCATCGCTGCTTACGAAGATGTGAGGACTCCTCAAGTGCGAGCCATAATGCGTGCGGCCACCTACAACCCGAAAAAGTCAAAAAAAATTTTTCGCTCAAAACTTGCTTCTAGGGGTAATCGACAGTCCTGATCACGATTCTAGACTTTATTTTCGGTTCCAGTGCCATCTGGCACCGGCATAGCGCCGAAGATCTTAGTCTGCGCATACTATCGAATTGAACGAAAAAAGCAGTTTTGCTCCATAAAAGTAGGATTGTTCAGTTCATCGTGAATGTTTTTGTTAGGACCAATTATTTAGACAAACATGGATCCAAAAAATGAAAAACTGTAGAAAAGCAAAATTTTGTCCTCGGTGGGATCCGAACCATCGACCTATTTTTTACGTTTTTTTTTATTCGTAGAAGCGCGCAGCGAAAATGAACCTCAGTTTTGAGGTCCTCGTATGTGCCCCTACAATATGCACAAGACCATTTTGAAAAAGCTCACCACGCCCTGAACGACCTCCATTGTGAGTAGGAGCAGCGAGTGCAGACAACAACACTCGGATTTCGCCTAGACACCACTGCATCGCTCTCGTTTCCTACCCTCACAACAAGCGTACGATTTACCCAACTGTATTCGTTCAAGTAGCCAACAATTGATTTTACGCGCAGTTTTTGTGGTACTACATCCTGTTTTCCTAAACTAATGATCTGTATGAAGGCAAACCAGGAATACCAACTATCCGGGATCAATGCCAGACCCGGTGGGAGGGGGGGAGACAAAAATGTTGACTTGTACACCGTGTTCCCCTTGGTATCCCTTCACCTCTCCCTGAAGGTCACTGTATAGGTCTGTCATAATTAGAAGTAGCCACGGTTTCGAATCGAAGCAGAGAGCGCGGCGCATCACAGAAACGGATCAATCAACGCGACTTTTTCCTTGGACCGTTTATCCGGTTCCTACTGTTATTATTGAATGAAATAATGAAACTGTTGTACAGTGCAAATACAACTGAACTCAAATTGCTGTGCCACTTCTGGCCAACTGGAACAATTAATAAACTGAAGGTTTGCCTAATGAAAACATTTGAAAAAGGCTCGGTTTCAGACGGACTCGAACCAGGATCCCGCGCTGAGCCGGGTGGTATTGGCAGAATAGCAATATACCTGGATTCATGTACCCAAGCCGTAAGTGTATGAAAAAACAACTAGCTTGGGAGGTTCTCAAAAAGAAGAGATAGTAGTTGTAACGAGAAAGACATTGTATGAAAAAATATTTCAAAATTGGGAAAAATGAAACAAAAAGAGCGGCACTGACCTGCTATAACGCTTTGACGGCACGCTGACGTAGAATCCCATACTGCTGCTGAAGCTATGTCTACGTGATTTTATGGAATAAATAGAAAGAACAAGAAATCTTGAAAAATTGTGGGATATCAATTATTATCTCGAATCAACTTTTTCTTAAAAATTTCGTGATTTTTCCGACTTTCTCACAGCTTTGTTGTGCTCCCGCAGCAACTAGAGCATATTCCGTTCATAGCAAAGATCATAGCGTAGGCTAGAATTAGATGAGACCATCAATCTTATCTCTTGAGGGACCACTTTAGTGCGTTCCGACACCAACTACTCCGAGGTTTATAAAGCAATAACCCCTTTATAGAGCATATGCTGCTCCCATTTTACAAATATTACGTCATTGCTTAATAAATAAAGCAGATGGATTAGACATGAAGAGTGATGGCGCAAGTTCGCTTAATTAATAGCTAATTATAACTAGAACATAGTTAATTATTTATGGTTCTACCAAATACGGAGAATTACCAAAAACGTGAGGTACCCGTCGCCGTGCAGGGCGCATATTCTAGGGAACTGGAATCCTATCGATTCAAGTCACTCTGGCCTTTTCTGTATCGATTTCCAAAGCTATGAACCATGAGAGAGAGATGGTGCTCGGTTAAGGAAATGTCCAAGTGTTTAAAGGAAATGGCCGCGGTGGCTAGGAGCGGACAGTTACAGTGCCATTAGTGGAAGGGCTACGAGAGGGCGTTTGGTCACACTCCACTACGCCCATCCACGAATGACGTTGGCAGATACCGAGAGGGCGTATCATGTGTCTACAGCTTCTACACCCCGCCGTATCACCAATTGACGGTTGGGCAGCAACGCCCCCGCCCCAGCCTCACTTGACTTTGAAACTCCAAATAAATAACCCAGCTTCACAGGATAAAAGATCTTTTTTAAAAGGTTCAGAGCAAATGTGCAAAGCAAGAGAACAGATTTTACCAGTCATTGTAAGCCTCCTACACTCATGTTTACCAATTTCATCTTCATATTCCGTACTTGAAGGTAAACCTGATTACAGCCGTTAGTTAATTACAAAAAAAGCAATATCCCAACGGGGATTGAACCGCACTTGGGAAACTTCGCCGCCACGCGGTATTGCCAATATTTTTTTTCTGGGCCGTCCATGAGCTTTGTGGGCATCGAGCAGATGAGGTGACCATAATGTGGAAATAATGTCTCCTGACACTGGAAACCATGTTGCCACCTCTCTGAAGCGGTCGTCGCGGAACTTTGTACGCGATAAGATGGTTGGGGCCATGACCAGGATGTTGCAGTATATGGGTCACTTGAAGCCCTGCTTCGGCTTTTGCTTTATCTCTGGACCTAATGACTAATTCGTGAAATTTTTGACTTCGCGTTCAGTTGTAGCAGTTAAGTCATTTCGCTTTCTGTTCCCACCAAAGCTCAAACCTCAGTGGGCCGAAGATCTATCAGACTCCTCAAGCGAAAGTCTCGCGTAGGGACTATAAGAGCATGGAGTGTTACCGAGGAGAGTTATATATGCCAATGTATAGACATCGTTTGTGCTTACATGCAGTCAGAGATGTGTTGGGCGAAAGCAAGGTTAGATTCCAGGCGCTGCTTAACTCAGTGCTGAGGATGACAGAGCGAAGAAGTCGTCTCTTTGATGTCCTCTAAAGCTGCTTCCTGCTTACAATCCACTTATGTTAACTGCCCCAGCCTCTCCACACAGTTCACATTTTACAATTTCTATCGAATGCGGCACTTCGGGCTGAAGTTTTTGCGTCCAAGGCGTTGGTTGCACTCCTGTAGGCAGGATCTACATCTCACTATGGCCCTAAGTCAATTTGACACTCTGCTTCAGAGAAGGGCCGACGGCGAGATACGATGTCCGTGTTTAGGGGACAAATTACCTCTGGAGACCTACGTTCAGACAATTTGAAGTGCTGACCTGAACTTCGGAAAGTGGTGCAGTGAAGGCAAAATGCCCTATTTGCCCATATTTAGTGCCCACCTTATTTGTTTGGAGCAATGGACGAATTTGCCAGGATAAAGACGACTCTCCCGAAGTGGGTGGGTTCACGCCGTCAGATCGAAAGCCCTAGAAAACTTCTTCTGTTGCCCAATTCGTGCTGGTACATCTTGGTTGGGGATTTTGGTCAAGTCCGTACGACCCCCTCCCCCCGTTTTTTTCTGACGGCCCTCTACCCCTCCTCATCGAGCTGTCGAGCGGCAGGGGGATGTAAATAACACATGTCAAACGGGGAAAGCCGCAGGAGAAATACGACTTCCCCTCCTCCTACCAATTCTTGAACCCCATCTTCCTGCCACTTTTCTGAAATACTTTTTCCCAAAAATGTTGCTGTCGAGGGGGAAGGGGGTTATATACTACACATCAAACATAGGAAAAATCACGAAAAGTCGAGCACCTCTTTTAGAAGGCCAGAAAGTAAATACGAACCCCTCTCCCGGCGACCAAATACTACCCCCCTGTTGGGGATTCCCCAACAACGCGTGCCCTGGTTGGAAATACTAGACTATGAGTATGAGGGCAGCTGGCAAAAGTTAACAAGCATTCCTGGAAGAGTACATGAAACCGTTCTACGATGCTACAAGCATCAGAGGCGTGGTAAATCACGGTTACGTGACCACCTGAGCTTCTTGTCGAAACTTTGGTGCTAAACCCTGTAAAGGCCAATGCATCGAAAGCCGTGAAAACACGTTGTGGGCCAGGGAATGACTTTTTTAAAAGGAAAGGGACCCCGATGGTGGGCGGGTTTCTGGGAAAAGCTGAAATGTACGAGGTCAAAATGGCTGTTGAGGGCCATAAAAACGCCTAGCGGGGGAAGAGCAGGAAAAGGATCGAGTTCAAGTTGATTGTGGACCGCAATTAATCGCACCATGAACCTGTCATCGTTTCGGAGTTTCGCGGCCAAACAGACCAGAACAAGTCGCAAGCCTCTAGCGAATTCACTACGCTTGCAAAAGAGGTAGGGCAGTCAAACCACGCCCCGTAACATGTCCTACAAAGGACCATGAGTTTGCAAACGAAGTGCCTATACGTATAGCGCCATATTAATGTCACTTACTAATTATTGCTATAATTTATCATTTGATTCGTATATTAATTTCATGTCAATAAAAAGAAGTGCTAGTCCGTCAGTACCTGCAACAAATGATTCCGACAGCGCAGGCCACTTGAAAAAAACGCGAGCTATGAAGCAGAAGTGCAACCTCTGTAACCGTCCAATCATATGTCCAATCCTTCGATGAAACTGAAAATCTTCCATATTAGTGAACTGAAGGCAAAGATTACGCTGATCATATGGGAGGAGACTGCCTGCAATGTGCCTTTATTGCTGCTGCTGACAAGGAAAGGATGGTTGGTCGAAGTGGCCATTTAAGACAAGATGCATACACACTGATGCGTCTTCGGACGCTGATTTCAAATCTGCTTTCCATATCTGCTAAACGATTCTCTGAGAAGAGTAGGAGGTGCTAATGGCAGGTAAGGTTGTTTGTACGGAGCAACAACTGAGGCTTGGTAACCACATAATGAGACGTGAGTCGTACCGTGACGAAGTGCATCTGGGTGGGCGTAGTGGGTTAGTGTGCCGCGCTCAGAAGTATGGAGGGTAGGAAGTTTTCGGAATCTCTGCCTATGAATGGAGACATATTTTGCATTTTCTCAAAAATGCCTCCTGCACATCCGGAAAGCACTTCTGCGAGGCTAGGAGACCTGATTCTACCAAAAAATTCTATTTCTGATGTGATAGAGCCATTCTGGAACACTTCTAGGTGGCAAGATGCCTGATTGATGGCGTTTTTGCGAGCACTATCGTTCGCGTCGTGTGTTGTGAGCAAACTGATTTTCGCAGATGGCATGGGAAGCCAAAGTGGGATGTCGGGGGTTTGTTATGCAGGGGAGCGTCTAAGTTAAGCCTAGCGAGGACGCGAAGAATTTTCGAGGAACCTTCAGCTGCTCACATGGGAAGATTTGAATGCGGACGATAAGTGCAGCAACCTTGGAATTGGTTGCGCCTGTGGTTACCACCAGGTGTATGCGAATAATAGTATTCGAATCTCAAATTTTGGTTGAAATACTTGTTCTCTAGGCTATTTGAAGGCCGGCAGAACAGAATATCACCCTCGTTCGGCGTAAAAAACGGCTGCCAGAGGACGTTGCAGGTTCCTGGCAAGCACGGCCTGCCCCTCCAAGAATGCGTACAAGACGTTTTCACGAAATATAACTGCAGTATTGATTCCTAGGGCATCAAAGCACCTCTAATTCCAGATTCCAGCCAATTTGGGCAATTTGGAGCACCTCATATACATGCTGGAAATGGGTGTGACCTGGTCAAAAATCCTGCATAACTTTGTCCAGGAAATCGTTTAGCAGATATGGAGGGCAGATTTGTAATCAGCGTCCAAAGGCCCATCGGGCAGTATACGTCTCATTTCGAATGGCCACTTCGACCAACCATCCTTTCCTTGTGTAGGAACCTGCGCCATGCTCCGCCACCCTTATAGGGAGAGGGCACACCATATGAAGGATTGAATGTTTAAAAAATAGGAGCTAAATATTCGCGTGTTGCCATCAGTGTAGTCATGATTTTTAAGGGCAGAATAATAGAAAATAATCTGGAAAATTAAGCTAAGCATTGGCAGAAGGCTGGCCATGATAATGGTGTCCGGGCAGGTCACACACAAGATTCGATGTTTCCGCATCAATCTCTCATGCACATGCCACCATATTCATCATGGTGAGCCGTCGTTTCGGCAGCGATGTGAAAAACTCTGAAAAATTCACTCAAGTATGATGAAGCAGTGTGTTTTCGTAGTTTTTGCTCTAGGCAGACCAACCAGATTATGTCTATGTAGACTAGTAGGCTGGACGTAGTGCTCTAAAAGTATTCTCTGGGCAAAGTTAAGCTTTTATTTAGAAAATTGTTGGAGAATTTTTCTTTAGTAGTGAGATTACAATTTTCATTATTGTCTGGAAAATGGTCCACGACAGAGAACGAGTACGGCTAGCCGTCTCCGTCCTGATG